TATCGCGCATTTCTCTACTACCGATGACTTATAGTGTCGTACAGACAAGCCCGCAGACAAGGATGAGGCCGGCGAGGCCCCCGCGGAAGAGGCCGCATAAGTTGCCACGTTCCGCGGAAAGCTGGCTGTTTGAGCCAGATCTAGGGTCGCATCCGAACCTTGGCTAGATCTTGCCGAACCCGGCACTTTCGTCTGTCGCTGTCGTTTGTTACTCGTCTGTCACATTCATTTTTTTCGTTCGTGTCTGGTATTTTTCTTACGTTCTCTCTGCATCTCGTATCATATCGCATGGCATATTCATCATCTCTATTACTTCCTCTCCCCTCGTGCCGCTTCTACCATCTCCCCTCTCCCCCCTCTCCGCATCTCCCAAACCTCCCCTCATCCTCCGCCCCGCTTCGTTCCCTTTTACTTTATGCGATATAAAGTAAAATGGTTCGTTTATACGTTTCAACGTCACATTCCTTTGTGAATGTTGGTAGAATTTGTTTGTCGGTATTTGGGTTGGTGGTGAAACGAAACTGCAATTTTACATGAAACGCAATTTGGAATTCTTTATTGTTGTGTGAGCAGAAAGTCTAGATCTGCTGTTTGAGTTTCGATGGCACTGGGTAGAGTTCGTTGTGACCAGGTGGTAACTAAGTGTCAAGCTTTCAAGTTGGTTCGACGTCAAGTGGACGTTCAAAGGCTTCGGCCAACCTTGGAAGTATACTTGACAGGTTGACGGTTGCTAAGATCTCTCGAGATAATGTAACGGTGATAGTTGATTCGATTATAAGGAAGGGGTATATGACGAATGTCTATGTACAAGTCAAGTACAAGTTCAGTGAGATAGAAACCAATTAGAGAGGTGTACAGTACGAGAATCCGAGTATCCATCCACCGACCCTGGTCCACCTAGGTCCTAAGAGTATAAAGAAACCCCGCAACACAAGCTCCCCCTTCATGTAAACACCCTCCTCCACCCCCTTCCACCATCCCTCCCCCCATCATCACCTCAAATAGTATCGACGTCCAACGCCTCAAAACCTCCTATCAGGTCTAACCCAACTCGAGCGCGGACTCTCCCCGAAATACGAAGTAGGGCCAGAAGGCGGTTGACGAGGTTCGTTGTGGAAGTCGAAGTCGAGACCGGATGAGGTGACTGCCCAGCTTGCGATGTTGAGGGAGGGGAAGAGGGCTGATGAAGTTGTTGTTTGTGATGGGTCTTCTTGGGAGTGGGGGTTGGAGTTGGGGTGTGAGTGGTGATCGGAGTAGGGGTGGGAGTGAGGATCGTTGGGATTGTGAGATTGGGTACGCCGAGGTGGGGGAACTGCCATAGGAGGTGTCGCTTGTGTAGTTGTCGTAGCTGACGAAGGTTGAGTCGGAACCGGTCGTGGTTGACTCTGACTCTGACTTTGCGGGAGAGGTGGTGGAGATTCGCCATCCCCTTGAGGCGTCTGAGGTCTCGATATCGCAGCAGCCAATGACGAAGGTGCGAACGCAGCCGCACTTGCGAACCTAAAACTCTGCATCTTCCTACTAAGCGTTTGTAGAACCGATTGACGCGTTTGAGACGATGCTCCTCCTCCTACGCCTGTGCCTGGGACTGAACTGTCTGTGAATTGTCGCTCGCGAGGGTTCCGAGACGAGTCTTCGTGTTGCATATAGGTAGTGTGGATGGACGAATCTGAGAGTCCTCTCGGTCGAAGCGTGCGTTCGAGTAAGGTATCTTGGACAGTATCCCTCCTCTCGTCTCCCTCTCCATCTTCATCTTCATCATGTCTTCCACCACCCGCGCCACTTCTACCAGGTTCACGATCCTGATCAAGCATGGCATCCACAGTCCTCGAGAACCGCTTCCCCCTGACCGTACCCCTCCCCTGCGTTTGTTGAATGAGAGATGGGACACCTTGAGACCTCCCTATCGTCGCGTTCCCAGTTACGCCTACTATGCTCGTGTTCGAACGTGTTGGTTTGGGGATGACGATCCATGGGTCGGTAGAGTCTACAGGCCTCGGTGCACCTGCGAATATATTCATCACATTCCTCGATGCAGCTGGTTTCAACGTCCCTGTCCCAGCCCCGTTCCCAAGTCCAGGTCCGCCAGCTACGGAAGCAGAACTGGAGGCTTGTCCATCGCTCGTAGAGGCGACGGACGATATAGGTTCACTCATCCCGACTCCGGCAACAGGAGCAGAGGAGTATGTACTTGTGACAGCTCTTCCGCTTGAGAATTCTACGTTGACCGTTGTCGCCGATGCTGATAACGCCGCTTCGCGTTTAGGCACGATACGTGGTGGCGGGCGTCCTCGACCTCGACTTGCAGGTCGAGCGGGAGGTGATAGAGCTCTCGAAGCTGCGTCATGTTCTGGCGCGGAAGAACTACCTGCTGGTAAACCTAACAATTTCGACAGAGGCGCAATCCACCCTGACGACCCTCCTGCTGCGCTTTCGCTCGTATTCGAAGTGGACGGCTGGGAAGACTTGGACGGGTGCAGAGCCATGTCGCTCACTTTGCCTGCGACGCTCGGGTCGAGTATGACGTCGTTTAGCGTTACGCGCAGTTGACCCATCTCCGAGAACATGTCTTTGAACAGCTTGAATAGGCCCCTCAAATCTTTCCGCGTACAGCTCGTCGTGATCTTCTCGTCCTCGAGGAATGCGCGGAATTGAGTTCGGATTTGGTTCATTTCTTGGAGGATGGAGCTCACGGTGCTTCGAGAGAGATGTGAGACGTCTGCGCCAAGGAGGTGTTGACGTTTGAGCCTGGTGGTAAGCGTGAGTGCGTCTGCTTGGATGAGTCTATTCACCAAGACAGACATCCTCTCGACTAGAGTGCCTATCACGGTGTTTTGACCATCTGTCAAAGACGAAGATTCTGATTGCCCGTCTTGAGGAGAAGACGTAGACAAGTGATCGCCGAAAGTTCGAGGAACGGGAGAAGAAGCTAGAAGGCTGCTAGAAGCACCTGTTCCGTCTGTCTGTACGCCACGTGAACGCGTCAGCAGAAGCAGGGATTTCATCGCCCCTCGGGGATTCTCGTTTGGAGATGCAGTGGAGTCCTGAGTTTCATCTTCGATCTCGAAGTTGAGGGTGGATGGCGCGTAAGAGGAGTATGGACGTCCTGTTGAGGGGCGTTTAGTAGACGTTAGGTACGATTCTGTAGGTGAGAGTGGTCGACGGTCTGTTTCAGGAGTAAGTGGTTCCTACGATGGGCAATTTGAGATATGCACTGGCAAGCACATGTAGCTGATACTTACGAATGGTCGCCTTGTATGTCTCTCAGTACTGCTCGCCCGTCTATCAAGCGAAGGTCCCGCCCGAGGATTCCTATACACAGAATGGAACACAGACGGCGTAGGAGCAGTTCCAATTTGAAATGTCGGAGAAAGAGGGGAAATCGAAGACTGCCCGACAGAGTTCACGCTGTCAGTGTGGCGATGCCTAGAAGTCGTCTCGTTCGCTCTGCGTTCTTCGAGTTCCTCTTGTAGTGTCCGATAGTCCTCACGCGTTTCTGCGAGTATGTTTTGCAGTTCGGCGTAGTCTCGCTTCAGGGTCTCGTTGTCTGCTACCAACGATTCGAGGATTTTCGTGACTTCCCCGTCATCAGTATTGAAAGGCCCAGGAGACTACGTCTATGTTGAGCCAGATGAATTGGACACTTTGAGGATATGCCTACCAAAAGCTGCAAACGTTGACGAGCATCATTTAGGATTTCCTGTGAGATCTCCTGACGATGGGTGCGCTGCATTTCAAGGTCCTCCCGAAGCCGGTTTACTTGCGCTTGCAACTTGGCTATATCCTTGTTAGCGCGAACCCTCAAACAGAGCCAAGGCACATCAATCAACTCACAACACTTTTCCTTCAGAGAAACTATACGCATTTCAGCCATTCTGGCACGCTGTGTTGCGCTATCCCTCTCTTGTTGAAGGTCGTCTTTCTCTTGTAAAGTAGAGGAAAGCTTCTGTTCGGAACCAATGAGGCGCGCGTTCTGCGCAGTCAGCCTGGATATCGTCTCTTTGGCTTTATTCAGCTCTTGTAACGTTGCTTGGTGCGATACCTCAGTCACTTCAGTTTGGACGAGGGCTTGAGATAGGCGCTGAAGGAGGGAATGTAGTTAGCGAGTATTCAAGTCTGAGCAGAACATACCTTCTCCAGAACAGCATTCTAGATGATAGACAACGAGAATCAAAAGACGAAGTCGTAGAGAGACACAGGGGATGTACCTCGCGGACAAGATCAGCCACTCGAGCATCTACTTGCTCTCCGGTTCGTTCCATGCTCAGATCACTCGCGGCGAGTTCGGATTTCTCTGAAGCTTGGCGAGCTAGCTTCCATTTCGACGTGAGTGACAAGAAAGAGCTACGTTTCAGAATGGACAGACCTCTTGACGACGTACAAAGGCTTCATGCCTCTCGAGCAACGCTTGCCCTACCTCTAGAAACGCGTCCCACAATTGACAGATAGCCTTCTTCTATGCAGGTTTACAACGTACCAGCACTGAGGACCAAGCGACTTTCAAGTTTCGCCTTGAACGCACACCACGTCTTTGTAGTCTCGCAATCCTCCCTTCCGCAACAACATGTCGAGACATTCGGAGGTTCCGGGGAATGAGCTCTTGAGAAGTTGGCCAGTGCTAGGGTGAGCTCATCGATAGTAGCCGTCGCCGCTCGCAGACTCTTGTGAGATTCCGGAGTCGAAGAACGCGTATCCATTACCCCGTTCGGACGTCAATTGTATTGACTCAGGTTCAGTGATGAGCTCCTCGGATATACAGTAGGGTAGAAGGTAGAGTTGGGAAGTTGCCCCAAAGCGGGAATGTAGAGAGTGTAGGCCTTGGGTCTGTTTTAAATAGCTGACCAGCAGATGTACAGCGTGCTCGAGGGTGCGGAGGATAGAGAAGCCAGGCGGAGATGAATACAAATGGGCCTGCAGCTGCGCTTGCAGCCCGCTCATTTCCAGCCACTCTCAGATCGGACACGCCGGGTTATAGATTTTGTGCATGTTTGCTACTACAAGCCCTCGTTGTCTAATGGTTATGACGTCAGACTTCTACCGCGAGGGTGTGATCTGGAGGTTGCGAGTTCGAGTCTCGCCGGGGGTATTGGATGCATCTTTTTTGCCCTTTTACTGCACACTGCGCTGCCCGCGTGAATTTCTCAGCCGTTATTTCTGAGCTTTGAGTTTGTTTTGGGTGCTTGTTTCTGATGAGGAGGGCGGATGACAGAAGACCGATGCAGGTAGGACACTAAGGACTCGAAAGTGCTGTATGCAATGAATGTAAGTTGTTGCTACACTCCGAGTCCCGTACTAGTACTATTCAAGTTGGCGAAGTCAAGACTCGAGAAGGTGGATCGACCAATCCTGCATGCCGTAGACCCTCTCCGTCGTACAGGTACCACCAATTCCAACAGATCGTTCCCTCCTCTTCCGACCAGCGGAATGGAGTCTGCGCATCGGTTCCTCAACCATACAATGGGACAGCCGTCAATCTGGCGGCACGCTGACGATCCTGCGAGATTCTTCCAACTTTGAAAGTCGATTTGGCCCCGCCGAACTCGAAGCTCGAGTTTTTCGCCCAAGACCAATTGGTCTAATCCCAATATGTTCAAGGTATGTTTGGTGTAAGATGATTGACGGCTGCTACTTTACTGATTGCCTGTCGGGTTCAGTTTTCAAGTTGAGATTCATGGTAAAGGCTCGCTCGTCCATCCTTAAACGTGCTTTAGTTGAAAAGAGAAGGTAGGCGACTTCCAGCCGGAACATGGTTCAAGTCGACGAGAATTCATACCCAATGATTTTCCTCGGTCGAAGATACCTTGTCTTTCTTTCTCCCGAGAGCCGTTATCAATTTATGGAGTTCAAGAATGTCGCCTGTCGAGTCAACGTGCAAGTACTTGTCATCCCGTAGGATGACACTTACGATGGCATTTCACGCACCGAGCAACCGAAACGGAAAACGGCAACTTAAGCTCTCTTCAACACAAGTAGAAGTACACACCGGCGGGAAGGAACGATCGCTCGCATCCCCGCGGCCACTCCACGTTCGAATATCGATGCATATTACAACACCGTGGAATCATGACTCTAACACCATGATACCGTACTACCTTCTTCGCTCCGGAGCCGAACGGGGCGTGTTTGAATCACATCGGAGAAGCTTATTTGTATGCTATATGTAAGTAAGAATAAGGTAACCGTTTGGCAAGGTAAGTTCGGTTCAAGTTTATAGGGGTTGTGATATCTGCACGTCGACATTGACATGAATGCCAGTGACAGTGATTATGTTAGGAATGGTGATTATGAACTGTGACAGTGTGAGTGAACGGTGACGATTTAGTCGTGAACACACGCGGGTCAGTACGGGTTATTAGGTCAAATATGCCATCTATAGAATCGACGACATGGGACAAACGCAAAAGAGGGTAGTGAGTACGTCGTTTTTTTGTATTCCTCGTTTGTGTGGATGTGAAGGAGTGTGAAGTGTCGAGATGACCAGCTGACCAAACTGACCACTCACCGCAGACTCACCGTGTATTTTTATAGTAACTTCCACCGCAGAGACTGGTTATGCGCTTTCCATATGTGTGGCCTCATGTATGCTGCGCCCCCGTCTGCCTCCTCGAAGTGCGGAGCGATAGAGCCTTCCGTTCTGAGCGAGATCGTGTGGTATCTCGTCACATACACACAACACATGAATATTACTGCCGTCGCCTCTAGAGACTCAGACTGCAACCTGCGCGTGTGTTCACTGCTGCCAGTGGGGAGTGTCGCTTCGCAATCAGGTAATGCGTGTCATTGAAAAGAAGAAAAGTGAGTTGAACCTGTCCGCGCGCATTTTCTCCATTCCCTCCGATCCCCTCCTGCATTCTGCATTCTCTCTGTCGAATTCGAAATGAAGTCTCGGCAATCGAGGTCGGGAGACGGTCAATGTTCACTATAGGCCACAGGACTACGGTTACTCAATGAAATTCATTTGAACGAACCGGTGACAGTGATGATGTCCCATTGACTATCTCTGCGTCGGTATGTCACGGTCTTTCCTCTATTTATCCGATTCCTATTGCCCTCATTTCCTCTAGTTCCCTCGTTCCTTCTCACCGTCTAATATCCTCTCCGTCGAATTCGTAATTAACCCCTCAACTACGTCAGATGACACTGACAACCAATGTATGATGCCACACGAAGCAGGGTTTGAGAGTTTCACGGACGCATCGATACAGTACTATCACCCGTGCTCTATCTATGATTTCCCGTGAAGATTCTAGGACGCCCTGACTGTGGACTGTGGAATGTCATCGGAGCCTTCGGTCAACTTTAGTATCGTACTGACCTGGATTACTGGAGAATATGATTGGACGTCATCCGAGTCTTGTCGCTGGTTTGACGAGCAATCTGACCGTGACAAGGCCACAACGAACGGCGAGGACTCCCGTTCTTATTTATGTACCGTCCAATTGACCAAAGCCTTTGAGCATTCATGTTGTGCGAGGTAAGTGAAGGAAATCGGGAGGAAGTCGAAGTACAAATTTATCGGTCATCTGACCTTCCCTTTTTCCAGTTTCGCCTCTCTACCTCCACCGAATACTTCTCAATTAAATCCCTCCAATCGAAAAATCAAATTGGCCCGGTCGACAATACATTCGCAATCCTCACTGGATCCTTACGAATAAAAATCACTGCCAGTGAACGGTGAGCATTCAAATTTTGAGGTCGATCTCTCCGAGTGTCTGTTTAAATTCAGTGTTCCTTGGTGTTGCAGAAGCCGGTTTACTATTCAATTCTGAACGGTGAGCTTCGAGCTATGGGCTGCGTCGATCTCCCCGACTGTCTGCTTTATATTCCTTTACTCTTGCCGTACGTCGCTGTTCACGTCGTGAGCCAACGGAGCCAGTCACCTATGCGACTTGGTACTACTATTGGGGGGGCCTCTGAAGGTATCAACGGGACGTTGCGTAGGAACCACCATGACGATGCCACCAGGGTTGTGCACACCATCCGTCAATCCGACAATCCGACAATCCGACAATCCGTCATAAGCCTGAGTTACCCCTCAGTGCGACCTTCGCAACCCGCAACCTGCAATATGAATTTCCACAACCCACCAACCGACGTCACGGCGTACTTATAACTTTTTCGAGGTCGTACCGTTCATAGTTCATAGCAGAAATTAAATAACACGGTCATCGGAACGGTCATCGCTCATCGGGTTGAAAATTTGGAGTACTTATGACTCGCAACTTGGATATCGATACTCCACAGATTTGAATGTGAGAGATTTAAATTCGAGGAGAGATACTGATAGGAGCGGGTGGAGAGAGTTGGAGAGAGTTGGTCCTTGGTATCGATGTGTGGGTAGCGACGTACCGTTCCTGTTTCTTCTTTCTTATTCATATTGCTGACTCCAGCTCCAGCTCCAGTTCCGGAGAAACCCTTACCAAAGACTAGCACTAATACTCCAAACAGAAAAAACATTAGGAAGTACCCCGCCGCGAAATCATTCACTACGGATAAGTCTAACGGGGCCTACATTTGGACAAAAACATCCATTCGGAGTCTGGTAAGAACAAAGAACCAAGAAAGGAGCTACAAACACCCGATCGATTGAATTTGATTGACAACTTCGGGACGAACGAGTCCCTGGCCCCATCAACATCATCACCATCACCATCACCCACTTTCCTCCGCTCGCGCTCGCGCTCATGCATCTTTCCATAGATTCCATACGGGGGTAAGGAAGGGTAAGTATTGTCAGGTATTGTCATGCCGCCAACGCAGGCGCACGATATCGCCTATGCCGTCGTGATTCAGGATTAAATATTGTAAAACATAGTAAGTAGTCACTTGAAGGCTTGGCAGTTACCCTCTGTGTATGTGGTCTCAAGTTCCCAGATGTCGCCATGAGGATATCGTACTTCATCCCGCGACAGTGGCGACGCAACGGGAGAACTATCATATTCATCATATTGTCCTTATGTGATCGTCGAGATGGCGCAGTGAATACGTGAATTCGTGAACGATCGTGTGTGGTATAGTAATAAACCCGTAAAACCTGTGACTCAGCGATAGCGTTTATGATAGGTTACGATGACGAACGGAATGTATTAATATTGCGAAATCTTACGGTTTACGTGCTACACACTTTTGAAATTCTACCATTGGGAACGTCCAACAAACTCTGGGTTTGATGAAGGGATGACATACCGGATCGTATAAATGTGTTACTTAGCCTGCATGACCAATCCTACCGTCCACAACCGTGCAGCATCCTCTAAAACGAGACAAGTGCCCGCAAAGTGTCTAAGGAGGTCGCAGCACTAGCAACAGTTAGTCGAAATTGGGTGGGAAAACACATATATGTGGAAAGCCGAATATATCGCGTGTGGCGCGCGGGTTCTATAGTCGTTTGTGACCCCCCTTTCACGTACAATGCCGGCATCTATATTGGGAAAAGGAGAAACACGGCGTGGAAACATCGCGGAGAGACCGAGTCGAAAGAGAGCCTGGAAGATCTATATTCAGTATACGTATTCGTGGAATGGCGCATAGGTATTTACCGACGACATGGACAAGCTTTAAGTCTCTGCGCAGTCAGTTTATCCGCGTAGGTTCGAGAGCGGTATAGAAAGAAGTGAACGGGAGTAAGAATAGGATGAAGGGGGTGACGGGAACCGTTTGTTCGGTGTGAATCGAATGAGGCCTAGATGGTGGATACCTACCTGCGTGGATCGCGCCGGTGCTTACAGAGTTCGACCCTGGGTGTGATCTGAATGGGTCAGCGAAACCAAACCTTTTCTTATCTTAATAGGGATCTCCGTCTGTCCCAAACAAGGGGGTGTTTAGTCGGACCGGGGGACAAGAGGGCACCTTGGGGGCTTCTAGCGGCACAGGGCAGAAATGAGGACGTGAGAACGATTGAATGGCTGACGGCTTGGTGGCAGGGCCGCGCGGAGTTGAATGGGTGGACTGTTGTGGGCATGTACTGCAGCGTGGCATGGACATGGTCGGGACATGTGAAGGACGGTGGTAAATAAGGTTACGGGACCTGTTGATGAGATATGCAATGTCGGCGGTAATGTTGCTCACATCATTTTCATCGATGGG